CCCAAGACATATGGCGACAATCTTTCAACCACCGACCATCTAGACAAATAAAGCAACCGTGCGCACTCCCTCCGTGGCAGTTGACCTAGGATGGAGGGCTGCAAGTCTGGGGTTGAAGCACTGCAAGCATGAAAAGTTGGAGGTCTGGGGCTGCTGGAAGGGTGGGAGGCTGGTGGGCTGAGATGGGCTGAGGGGTTGGAGGGCTGGAGGAGGGTTGGAGAGCCGATGGATGGCATCGGTGGGCTGAAGGTATCCAAGCTTTGGCCTCTGTTGTCCTATCGAGCCAAAAGGACTCAGAGTTCCCCACAGCCCCAGGCGGGCTGGTGGCTTTGGCTTGCGGTTTGCCCGCCGCAGACTGCAGCGTGGCTTGTGTGCATCTAATATAAAAATGATGTTCGTCAAGTCGGCCATCTTCTGCCGACTGTTGGACTGTTTGCTCCGGAAAGCGGATATCATATAATTGGCCTCAATACGTAGGGTCTGGTGCGCATCGAGTTCGATGGTACGGCTGATGGTATGACGGTACATCATGGCACCGGCTCAGGCACCTGGAGCGAAGCCACAGAGGGAACCTGAACCACTACCATCCTCTGCGAGGCGGCGTGCATTTTGCACCTTGGCCAGAAATCCCCAAGGAGCTGCTGCTCGCCTCACCTCAGCCCGGACTGGCACGCTCCAGCTGCCACTACTCGGCCGGGCGGTTGCGAGCCTTGCCGCCTTGGAAGAAGTCTACTGCTAAGGCGAACAGTCTCCCCTGCTTCCGCCTCCGAAGTACGGCTTAGCTGCTTACTGTACCGCAATCAGGCCCGACCTTGTGCGTGGGACGGCACCTTTGGAAGTACAATGTGGACGTATCCCCACCCCAGCATGAGCAACATAAGTGTAACCTTTGGCTCCCCGTTCAAAAGAAGGAATTTGATAGTGGACCGACAACAACCAAAGCTGGCAAGGATCTGCATGAAGGCCATTACATTGAGGACCGTTTGCCAGCATGTGGAAGTTTGACAGGCATGCATCGTGGCTGTGCCTCAGACACGCAGCTTATGCTTGTGGCGACGCACTTGGACCTCAAGCAAGCCTTGAGCATGCCGCTAAAGGAAGGCATGCTGCAGATGAGCACGTTCGGCGAGATTTCAGGCGAGACGGCGAAGGAAATCGATGATGTGAGCTGCAATGCATTGGCCCAGCCTGAGAACGCAGATTGAAACTCCAAAACTCCTCTCAGGCATTGCAAAGAAGTATTTACTCAATCTGGTGCGATTTGTTGGTCATTGAACATCGTTCGCATACACTATGCCACTATGCCCTTTGCTGCTTCAAGGAGGACCTCTGCCGAGCTCCAGGCGTCCCGCGAGGTTTGTGGCGCTCACCGCAGCTCCGAACGAGATTACATCTGGAACCCAACTGTGGGAAGCAGCGCTGGCCTCATCAAGTGTGGAGCTCTTGAATTTCAAGCCACGCCAAGATCTGGACAAAAACCGCTGCTAGCTGCTAGCTGGGCTGCGAAGAGCCAACAAGCCCAATTCCAGCAGCTGCTTTTCTCCTCCAGAAGTGCAAGGCAGTCGTGACAATGCGGATACAGAAGCAGGAAATAGCAGGAGCACACCGACTGGCGCCGTCCTGTGCACTAATTGCTGTGTTATAGCCGACCAAATCGTGCTGGCAGGCCCTTGTGGAGGCAGAGGACCTGGCAGCAGAGTTGAATCTCAAATTCTCAACCTCAGAGGCATCTTGCAGAAGCAAGACAGCAAGTTTCAGAGAAGGCGCAGCATCTGCAAAGCCCAGTCCCACCGCTGAGCGCGTTCGCAGCTGCTGATGAAGGAATTCACTGACACGAGCGTAGTTTGGATGCCCTGTCTCTGCAGAAGGCCCTCAGCAACTACAACATGAATCCTGCATGCGGATGTGCTGCCAGTCTCTCACAAGTCCTCAAATGAAGACTGCTGCCCGGAGGCTAAAACCATCATCGACATCTCCCAATGTTGAACTTTTTCACCTATTCGTAGTGAAGATGCAGTGGAACATGCTTGCAAGCCATCGTCATGTTGCGACAAGCCTGAGGGCAGAGCAGGCAGCCAGCACGGCATTATGCGAAATGGCTGTCGGGCGTACTGCTGCAGCAGAAGCGCCAAGCAGCAGTGATGTTGCCCTGCGGCATCCAGGCGATGTAGCATGAGCAAATGCAACAAACAAATCCAGACAAGGAAAACCTGCTCCGCTGGATGCAACGGAGGTGCACTTGTACAGCTGAGCAGCTTCTAGCTTTGGCTATTGGATATGTGGGTTTTGCGTTGGACTGAAGCCTGTTCTTGCCACCTTGCGACCGTTGGCGTCGGTCTACGCAATCTTCATCCGGGCGGGTTCTTTTCGCGCGTTTGCCGTGACAACAGTCCGATCGCATTCCCGTGGTGGGGTGTTCCCTTTGCTTGACTCAAAGAAATGCGAGACATCAACGCTGACGCCGCCCATTTAGAGCCTCCAGAATGCTCTCCGCAAGGCGAAGAAACCGTGATCCCCCACCTGGAATTAAACCTTCCAGCCCGGCGACCAGGGACGAGCGAGGCCCAGGCGCAAGCCGTCGCTCGCATTGAAGACAAAGGCTTTGGCCACATGCATTGTTGCTGATGCTGTTGCTGCTTTTTGTAAGTTGCTGTGTGGAAATCCCCCATGAAGCGGAAAGCTGCCCTGTCAACCCTCACACATGAGACATGCATTCATTGAGCATCCTCTCCCAGCGAGAAGCCCGGTCGCAAGCACTGAGCGCAGCGTTGCAGGCCACCACAGAAGCACCGCCCTGCTGTCTAAGCAGGAGCGCGGCTGCCCACTGCTGACTGCATGCACCTCATAGGACTCAAAGGGCAGAGGAAGGACCGGAAGAAAAAGCAACTGAGGATTTGAATGCCACGGCACTTATTACCGCACAAAGAGCAACGACGTCTGATGGGATGCCGCTGCTTTGCATCCACAACCAAGTTGTCACAGCATGATGCCAGACTCCAGACTTCTCAATGGCAGTGATCGCAGAACTGGCCATGACCAAGTGCAGGCGGACCCTGTAGCTCACCACCTTCCAACAAACTTTGACAATTTTCATGTGCTACTGTGACAGCTCAAGGGGGGCCTGCTTCAGAAGCCACAGGCTCTCATGCCATTGGCTTTTGCACCGCAACGCGTTGGCCATGCCACTCCATGAGAAAGGATCCGACTCAACCTAGGATTCTCGGAAAGGAAAACCAAAAACGTCAGCTGCTGCATCAGTCTTGCACATCACTGCTAAACATAGCTTCGTCCGAAGGCTGCTTAGCTGCGCAGGCTTCTTGTGCCCGCCGCAGAAATGCAACAACTCCAGCCCAATGGCTCTGTCTTTCTGCAGCGCGCGCCACGCTGTTGAATGACACGATGCCCTCAGCTCTTCGCAAAAATTCACTACATCTGGCGGTTCCTTCACAGAACTGTTACATGCTTTGCTACGCTACCGGGTGAGATGCTGGTCTGATGAGGCTGAGGGAATCGAGCAAGGCCTGCGCAATAGGCCATGTAGAAGTGGGACCTGCAGTGCGATGACGGTCATCGGTTCCTACATGATGCACACCGGGAATACTTATCACGCCTTCGTCGGTCCCGCAGGCGCTGAGCGCAATGTTGCTGAGAACACGATCGGCTTGGAGATTCTGAAGCCGAACCTTCTACAGAGTTGTTGTTAGCGCTGCGTGTGGTTCTCTTGTTGGCTTGACCAGGGCCTGGGAGAGTAGTGCTAGGCAGGCCCTCCACTGACGAGCGGTGCTGCAGCTCTGCAGCAAGCCATGGCGAGCGCTCTGCAGCCAGTTGTCCTCATGGAGCTTGGCTCTCACAACATCCCGGGATCCCAGAAGCAGGCATGCATTGACGCTAGGAGAATAATTTCTAGGAATCACCATCCGTGACCACAATTTCCTGACAAATGCATGAACACCAACAGCCCTCCTTGTCTTCGAGAAACTTGATCATCTTGGCTAGAAAATCTTCAGGGAAAGCTGAGTGCCCCACGAGCTTTCGCAACAATGCAATTGCTGCGCACCAGGGGGACCTGGAGATTGCATCTCCTTGCCTGAGTTCAAGGGATGAGGCTTCTTCTGGAGGGCAAAAGGTAGAGTTAACATCCCCCTGTGCCCGAAGTTGTCCTGGTCGAGCCCCAAGCTTGTAGAAGAAGTACTGATGGCTGTGGCAGGAAGGGCTGGCGGGCAATATCGTCGTAAGAGATTTGTCTAGCGTTCGCACGTTCTGTCTTCGTACAGAAGTCAAACTGAACAAACTTGTTAAAATGCAGTTCTAAGTACCGAGTATGATGCAAATTGCAGCGGGGCTTCCAGTACAGCAAGTCGTCTGATATCCAGGCATTGCAAGATAGACTAAGAGGCAACAATAACATGCGGGACTAGCCTCTCAGTCTTGCACTCTCGCTATTTCCTGTCTGGCTTTAATTTGACTTCTTGCCACCAGTCACTCGGAGTAGGATCCAAGGCTTCCAGCTTCGAGCTGCGCAAGGGCCACGGGCCAGAAGTGCCGCTGTTTGGCCTGGTGTGGAGCATAGGCTCTCGATGGTAGACAAGGGCAAACAGGCAGAATTACCGCGCAAAAGGGATCATCTTGGCTGCTTGGCTAGCTGCTGCACGGACTGGAGTCTGCTTTGGCTCCAGCGCAGCTCCGCAGCTGGCCATCAAAGTCCATGCTACCCCGCAGCACGCTGTACGTGAGGTGTTGTATGGTGTCGTCCCATGTTGAATGGAAAAAGGCAGCGCGGATGACAGCTTCAACTGGAAACACTTCGCGTCTTCTGAACTTTCCACATCAATGTGGGGTGCTGGGCCAAGACAGCCATCTGAAAGCGATGCCGACAAACAGCCTACTGGCCACGGACTGTTAGCATCACAACGGCTTACAAAATAAATAGCTCGGAAATCTTGCCACACCCAAACTTCACAACCTGGAGGCCATGGCATACAACAGGCTGGGCTTGCTGCCCAGTTGTTCCCGTAGGCTTGGACTGGCCGTTGCCTTCGAAACGACCCGCGCACAAGCATTCGGACCATGAAATGACCACCTTTGTACTGCTACTATTTCTCTACTATAACTACTATTATTCTTGTTGTTAGTACTATCATCATCATTACTGTTAGTGCTGTTACTATTCCTATGAAATGACTATAAATACTACTGTTATTACTTACTACTAGTAGTTCTACCTGTCTTTTTATTCTTATGACTCTCTGCCAAGAAGAGGTCAAGGCAGCACGCTAGACAGCGCAGCCATCTCAGAACCTCAGAGTCATCAGAACAATAACAATGATACGTTTGATAATGAAAATAATGTCAAGAAATAACATGAATAATAACAGTTTGCTGTGGCACCAGGATTGCTCCAAAGGCCCTGACTGCCAGCCCAGTTGCCCTCCCTCCCGGTGGTCTGCAGATACCTTGTAGAGAAAGTCTCTGACGGTGCTGCTACCATCACTTTCTTCCCTGCCGTTCAAGTTAGCCGGGGAGACTCGTCCGCGTGCAGCAAGACGAATTCGCAGATCTGATCCAACGTCCACGAGGACACAACCTCCCGAACCTGAGAAGCGTACACAGCCCGTGGAGTTGCTGCTAGATCACAATTCTCCACATACAAAGGTTTGGTTTAGATGTGTAGCTCTGAGTCAGCAGCCCGAGAATAAAGTCCCTGGCACGATGGCAGTAGCAGCAATCTCGTGAGCACGGCAGACATGCAAGCCGCATGCCCATGTGAAGAAGAAAGCAGCGCAGTGAAGGGGTTCAATCTAGCGTTCACTGACCAACAGTCCAGCCTCACGGTTCCACCTCAAATCCGACAGCTTGCTCGCATGCCGAGTCTAAGCATGCCCTAGCTGCGAGTGTCTTCACGCTCATGGCCCGGACCCTGGTATGTCAGCTGCGAGCTCCGTCTTATTGCTGGAAATAAACTCCTCTGCCATGTCCTTGCAAGTGCTCCAGAGCAATGCGTTTGCAATGCATTGGCTTTGCCGCTTCACGAATAGTTGGCCCAAAAGAACGGCTCTAAGACGTTGACAGTGAAGAGCTCCCGTGTGCGCCACTCCACATCGGCAGACAGCTGTTCACCGCGCGCACGGGTGGCCGCCAACTGTTCACATGGTTCAGGGTCTCATTAGGGAACACTGCAGGATGACCCAGACACTTGTGAATAACAAGGGGAATCGGCCTCTGCAATGAACTCGCTCTCATTAAGAATGGCCTTGCTGAATTTCATGCACCACAAGAGTCCCCTCAGCATACCAAACCTTTTTGTGATGCGCAGTCAGCCGTATATATTCAAAGATGTGGAAGGGGGAGGGCTTGGCAGGCACGCTGTAGCAAAGGCTGCCAGGGAGCCATTCGACGCAGCAGCGATGCTCTGTCTCCAAGACCCATACCCTGTCAAGCTTGGGCAGCATAATTGGGTACTGCCAGAGCAACTAGCAAGTCATGCCTCCCATCGATCGGTAAGGTTTTCACCCAGTGCTGCTTCCTGAAGGTCGGCCGCTTGGGCAAATTAGTTAATTAGTGTGCACAGAAGCTTACTACAAAGCATTGCAGCAACTTGGAACTAAGGGAAGTTCCCAAGCAGAAGACCTCAGTTTAACGAGCCGATAGAAACGAAAGACTCGCATGACGAGGACTTTTCTGCCACCACCCTTTGCAGCGGCGAGTCACCTGGAGGCAAGGTCCTTAACATCGTTGGCTTGGACTTGCAGCGCCATGGACAGGAAGAGACAATTTCCACCAGCACCTTCGAGAAGCCAATTCGCACGAGCAAGGCCAAGCTGTCAAAACCGTACTGTGCGCGAGCGTACCCATGTCTCGAGGTGTCCACCCATATCGCTGCTGCAAATTGCTGAGGATCTCCTTTGAAATCCGGAGCACTTTCAATGCTCATCCCACTGCAAGAGTCTGCAAGAGTCCATGGATAGATTCCTATTGGTTCACCGGAACCTATGTGCTCTACTACTTCTACTGCTGGACCCACCGAGGCATTGCAGCAAAATCTGTCCCTGTCGTTCATGTTCTGCGTTCGGCACTTGCCACTGGAGACCTGAAAAAGGTGGTCAAACGCTACTTCTGAGAGCACGCGTCTTGATTTACAATCAGTGCGAACCGCCTTTCATCTCGAGAATTGAACACACACATTTCTTGTAGCAGAGGAGCCTAGAATCTAAGAGGTCTATGATGGCATGACGCGCCTGTGCTGCTGCCCGAGCAACCTAGCCAAGATCAAGTCTCAAGAATGTGCTCTGCCTCTGCGTAGTCTAGCTCAAGTAACCAACCGCTAGAGAAAACAGAGCTGTCTTGATGGAGATCTTCATCATTTACACAAGTTGCATGCACCGCCCTCAAATCTGGGGCCCTTGCTCGGCAACTCCTTCCTGTCTCATAGCAATTGAAAGGCACAGTCGATGAGCATCAGAGTGCAAAGTTCTACAAGATGATGATGAACTGGTGGGACAGTGCAAGGCTTTGATCATGCAGCCCCAAACTCCATGCTGCCATGATTGCAAATGGTTTAAACCTACACAGCACCGGAGCGCACACCCTGCAAGCGGTCAACCTGCAAGCGCAACAAGAGCGGCAGCAGCTGGCGCTGCATATCGGGAGCCCTGCATGCAGCTTGTGTTGGAAATTGCCCCATGATGCAGAGGTATGCATTTCATTTGAGTTTGCTGGCAAATGCGTTTGATGCTTACCCTGGCACCAAGCCAAAGTGGGAAACAATTGACACGCCTGCCCCCGCACCAAATGGACTTGCGAAACCAGAGATGGAGGCCTCAAAAGAAACTCAAGTCTCTTCCAACCCATGCAAATTGATGGGTGTATTCGGAAATAGTTCTGCATGAACACATGGAAGCTAGGCTAGGCATCTTCATAGGAATTCATTAATACAAGCCAACTTTGACCACAACCGCAATACCTGCAGATGCCTACAGGCTTACAGCTCACTCATATTGCATGTAGGAGTCGCGCCGTCGAGCCGTCGCAAAGTGTGGTGTGGTAGGCAAAACCTCAGCCTCGCGACTGTGCTTTCGTAGCTGGCAGGAGCAATGTCTTGCAAAGTCGCTGCACTTTACATAATCCTTGATCCTATATGAACCTAGATAATCTTCATTTAACAACCTTAAGTTAACTGCTCAGAAGCTGGGCCAGACACCCTGCTGAGGAAGAGCTGCATGAGATCGCGCTGCTCGCAAATCCGAATCCACAATAAGAAAAGCCTACGTTGCGCACGTCAATGGCTGCATTTCGCTGGTTGCCGGTGCCGTAAGCTAGCGGCTTATCACTTCCCAGCACTCTAACTTGTCCTGAAGTCTTGATGCACTTGGCTTGCGGATGATATGCGAGTCCATCTTGCTGGAGCCAAGCTTGCGACAGTTCAACTGTAGCTGTAGCCCATGCACACTCTAGAACTATGCACGTCAATCACCGGGAATTATGGGGATGCAAAGGTCTCTCACACACGTCCATGCATTTCTGTACAGTGTGTTGTTCAAGGCGGCTGCTCATCATCCTCATCCTGAGCAGGCTTCTGAAAAAGCAGGATCCACAGATGCACCGAACTGAAGGCCTGTGGACCTGTTCGGCAGCGGCAATGTGCCCAGCCTCATCCGAGGATTCGTAGCCACCCAGCAAGGACCCGCCAGCTGGTGAGGAGGTTGGTGATCCAGCTGCCCTCGGAAAGGCTGTGAAAGGCTACTGGCTTGAATGACGAGCTGGGTCGGCTGTGGCCCGCACGCATTTAGCGCAGAAGTTTCAGCGCCTGCGCAAGTGATATTGCAGTGGCGCAGCGGTGAAGAACGACATGATGCTGTGGAAAAAGACACTGATCCTGAATTAGTTTTCGGTTCCACCTGCAGAAGTGCTGCACCCCACCCACTCTGTTTGCAGTCGCGGGCTGAGCTTGGCATTTGGCTGAGACACCACTGTCCCGCCCACAATGCGGGCTCCCTTGTCATGAGAGAGAACGCCAAGGACGCGAAGAAGCGCATGACGCTTTGAGCTGCCGAGCGTTGTCACAAGCATGCGCTGGGAGCTCAGACGGCCAGGGGCACCTGAAGGTTGGAAGCCACTTTGGGTAGCAGCAATTGCATGCAATTGCCAAATGCAAAGGCTTCGCAATCCAGCTCGGTCACTTATCTCCTCGCTGTGCAGGGGTGAACCGACCATGCGGTCCTTGGCTCCAGGAGGGCTCTCGTGACTCGCGTTCATGCTTGGCTTTGCCATTTTTCCGTTATGTTTGGAGCAAGGTACCAGATCCAAAACCAGCAGAACCAATCCAGCTGCGCTGATCTCTGATTCACAGGGGACAGAGCCACCCTGGAGGAGGATCAGAAATTCATGCCAAGGAATTTTTACACGTTGCCGCGTGGCCTCGGAGATGGCAAGCTGAATCTTCAGGCATGTAAATTGATGTAACATCAGGCCCGGCATATGCCTAAGTCCTACGTACTGTAGTCTTCTTTGCGGCGAGCGGCGCAGGCGGCCAGGACCTCAGCTTTGTCTGGGGATGGCCGGCAAACAAGGAAGCATCCGTCGAGGTCCGCTACAGCTTTTGCACTGCATGCCCTGCTCAGCATTTCCATGTGCGTCGTTATCTGAGATGCGAACTTGGCAAGCTTCGCCTGCAAGGTCCAACTGGCTCCTCGGCTTCAAGCAGCAATGCAGCAATCCAGCCGTGTCGTCCAACAAAGGCTCCACCATGTGGCGTTGATCGCTGAAGGATTAATGCAAGCTGAAGAGTCACACCCTGCTCTGACAATATCTCCGAGGCAGCCAGTAGGGGCATCCCAGCCGCAAATATGTGGGGCCGCGCATGCTTCAGAACCAGTCGGCCTAATGCACAATCTCTACAGCATGCATCAGCATGCCATATCAAACGCTTTCAACCTACGTCGAGTCTGAGCCATCAGCACAGGGATGGGCTTGCAAGAACAAGGCCATCCTTGGACTACATCTCAAGCAACCTGAAATGCCCATCATCCATATAGTCTCTCTAGTGCATGCTCGGCCAAGATACCTTGAAGCTTGGATCTGCGCGAACAAATTCAGCAGGAAACCTTGAAACTCCGTGCGCTTTTGCCTGCAGAAAAAGCCAAGCATCAGCCAGGCCGCTGCATCATGTCCATTTTTTCTGCCCTCCTTGCCTCGGCCTCTTCTGCCAATAGTCCGAACCAATCCATGACCCACGCCAACTGGCTTGTTGCTGCTGCGGCCAGCAAAGAAGGAATTGGGTTCGGCTTTGTATCCGCATCTGATCGGCGCTCTTGCCTCACAGTCCGGGATTCCGCTGCGCGTTCTGCATCTGTCCTTTGGAAAGCGATCTGCGTGGCAACTGGTGATGAAACCGGATCAGGACTCTTGAACCTCAACAAGGCATGTTGTGTTGTTAAAAGGTCTCCTTTTAGTTCTGGAGGACCCTTCCCTAATCGGGATCCAGCATCATGGCTGCAGCCTACGAATCACTTCAGACCCTAAACCCTAAACCTTTTTGGCTTGCGCTCTCTTGCGCTCCCAGCGGCTTGCTGGGCAAGGTGGCTGGTCCAGGGGCCACTTTTTCGAACAATGCGCAGAAGAAGCCTCCGAAGTCTCCGTGCGTTGGGTGTAGCCGAACACAAAGTCGCAGGGCCGCCCGGACCTGGAAGAATTGTCGAGAATTGACGGTTGCCCTTGAACATTGGCACCCAACTTTGAAGCGATTTCATCTTCTAGCAGGGGTTTTGTATATTTTGGGCTCCCACGGTTCGTGCATGCTGCTTCACTAACTTCAACAAGCTCATCAAGCCTTCCTGCCTGTGGATCAGCAGGTGGAAACATGGTAGCAGCCAATGCGCCTCCATTCCGGCACCAAACACCGGGATCAAGTACATCGTCTGCGTTGCTGTAGCATTTGAAGGACTCATTGAAGTCCGGAGAGGGGACTATCCAATTGGTGAGGCCTTCTGCATGGCTCCAGCCGTGTACCGGAAGCAATCGAACTTGACCAGCACCCAGCCTTTCGAGAAATGCTCCGTTCAACTTGGACCCTCCTGATTAGCATATGTCCATGTGACATCACGCAATCCTGCCAGCAGCCAAGGCACTTCTCCAAAGCGGCTGCAACGACTGCCTCGTTTTCGATTGGAGACATGCTGCAGGTCGAGTAAAGCAGCCGCCCATGGGGCTTCAAGATGGTGAGGCCACGCTTCAGTATAGCGCTTTGCACCTTTGTGTTCCGGAGTGAACAGCCCCAAACCCTTCACCTCTAAAGCTGCCTGGGCTGAGCACATAATGCATTTGAAGCATGTAGCGCACGTTCCAGAAAGGCCATCCACCAGGTGCACGACGTAGACGACCGTCGCCTTCCAAGGCATGGGCTGGCAACGCGAAACTGCAAGAGTTCCCAGCACGCAGCTTCAGTCATTTCAGCCCACCCCACCTGAGCAAGGGACATCACAGAGCACACGGTCGAAACGAATCTTCCGCGCACCGCGAACCCTGCCATCTGAGTGGTCGTGCAGCGTGGGAAACTTAGCTGTTACAGTGCGCTCAGAGTCTTAACATCTGCTTCCTGGGACAGGCCATGCTGTCTTGCTGAACAAACTATGGCAGCTCGGCTCTCGGCATTCCGCGCATCTCCACAGAGCCACAGCAGCGGGACGGGCTTCTGGTGCTGCTGCGCCCGACGCACTGCGGTAGCACATCGTGCCCAGTTGTCGTCGTTCGCGACCAGAAGACCATCAGGGAGGCCACCTTGCAGCATGGCAGCGTCAGGCTCAGCTCTTTTTGGGGTTCCTCGTAGCGTCACATGTCGATGCCTGGCGGGAGGCCGACGCTCATCCTGTCGAGGAGCTGAAGCGTTTTGGAGGCAGGCGCTGCACACAGGTCTGCGACCATGTGGTGGCTTTCAACCTAGGTTTGCCGCATTTCTTGGAAATCAACTACTCCAGGGGAAAGACCCTGCTGCCAGTTGCAGCTCAGGCACCTGCAAGAACAAAACCGGAAGCATGCTGGCAGCTTCTTGTCTTGCGATTGCTCCTGCATCCTGGCAAGCCTCCAGGAAACTCCAGCAGGTCTTGCTAGGACCTTCAAGCGCAAAACCAGCGAAACCAGAATCAGGGTCTTCCGTGCTGTTGAAATCGAGAGGTCTGAGCAGCTGCGTCTCACTTCGCAGTTGGTGAAGGGCCAGTGGTACCAACGGCGACAGGGCACCAAGACGTATGCAGTATGGAAGCGCTGTGTGCATGAGCTGCTTGATGTTGGCGAAGTCAACAAGTTCCGTGTAGTAGGTATCCCATGCCTCCGACCCGTTATGTTTGCCGTGGCCTGCCTGGGTTCTGAACTGCGCATCTTGCAAATCATCTTCTGCATCTATAGCTAGCGGCTCTTCGTCAACGTAGTGGCCTGCACTGAAGATGTGTCGCATGAGTTGGTTTCTGGATGCGAATTCCTGGCCACAATGCTGGCAAGTGCGAGCCGCAATGTCGGCAGTGGAAATCTGGTGCGAGTTCTGGCAAACTTGAAGGGTTAATTCTCCGCCGCGATCACAACCAGAGGCGTGCCAGGCCTTCCAGCACTAAGTGTGTGTCAGGAGGCGGTTTGACATGTACTGCATGTATTAATCGCTTTATTCGTTTTCCCCCAACCCAAGATTAAACAACATCCTCCCCCCTTAGTAGTCTTCTTCGGGGCCCGAATACTAGGGGGGTCATCTGTTGAAAGGACTAGAAAGGCTTCCTAAAAATCCTTCTCAACTTCATGGAAATCAATAATCAATTGACTAGATCGATTAGTGACTCTCATTAATTAATTAGCGCTCCCCACTGCGCATCGGCGTCCACGATATTCGCTAATCGCACTATTGTCACTAGTGAATATGGAAAAGACAATTCCAGAAACCCTTCTAATTCATTATTAGGTGGCCTCTTTTAAAGTAGTCTTGCCCTTTGAAGATGATCTTCCGGATGCTTAGGTTTCTGAGTTTATTACTATGTATTGGGGGGTTCAGGGATTACGTTTGAGCTTTGTCTTGGGACGCTGTCGAAATTAGCTATAGGCATTGCGTTGCTCTGAAACCATACTTGAATGTTGTGAAGCTTAGCATTGTCGGAAGGAAAAGCCGCAACAAGGGAGCAGCTGGATATTGTGGTTATATTGGGGTTATGTTGGGAGAATGGAAAATAAAATGGAAACTATTATAATCATACAGAATATATAAGTGTTATATATGGAATGGCCGTGACGCCTTGGAGAGGGTCGCATCGTCACAAATGTGGGACTCCCCCGCCCTGTGCCGCCAAAGAAGCCGGATTTGCAAGGCACCTCACGGCTTGCGACCACACAGTTTGTGTGACCAGACTGAAGCCAGCCAAGACTGCTTGCAAGCAAGCCTCTGGTGAAGGACCCCGACGTCAGCAATGGGAAAAGTGCGTCTACCTGCCTTTGAAGATCTGCCAGCGAGGGTGAGGAGAGCTTCAAACGCTTCTGCACATCTCCGCAGTCGATGCACACTACGCCACCCTGGCACGAAGGAAGGCGAAGCCAGGACACAGGGAGAACAAGCAGTCCTTAACAGTTCCTATCTGCAGCTTCCGCCTGTGTGCTGTAGCCGCCGCCGGGTGCTTGCATGTCTGCATCAGAACCATGACGGCAGGAAGCCAAAAGGCTGATCGTTTCAACAGTGGGCTTGGTACAGTTGCAGCTTCATAGAAAGAACTAGCTCAACACCCCTGATGCACATTCCGGTTCAGCTTGCACTTTGAGCAAAATGTGTATAAGTCCACGCGAGCATGGTCTCAGCATGTGCTGCCATCCCGGCGAAGTGCAAGCGCAGGAAGCACCTTCCACTCGTGCCCGTTTGCTGTCAGGCTCCTCCACATCCACTGACATCACATGTTCTTTGCATGGCTTAAGCAAATTCAGAGTTATGTCCTGCTTCTCCTCGAAGACATCTTCTTTGCTCTTCACTTTGACAAAACTGGGCATGCGCTTCTTGGCCTGCCCGACGATGTCTTCATTCATCCAAGTCAGCCATTAGTCCAGCCACACCTGCGGGCCAACCTGGGGGCCGACTTCCGGCGCTATGGTCTGCGCAACCTCAAAGCAAGAAGCTCTAAACTGATCTTCATACGTAGGCGTCCTCGAAAAAGCCCAGCCTTGCTAGGCTTTGTCATGGCTTTGTCAATCCTGGCAGCACAAAGGATACGAGCAGCTCAAAGCACGGCAATATGCTTGCATGTCCTGTGGTCAGAAGCAGCTCTGCGAAACTCGCTTACTTCCTGACAACGACCAGCAGCTGGTTGCACAACTTCGACCAAACGAGGAGGGCTCAGCGGTACCTGTTTGATGAATGGCGTCTTGTAGTGTCTTCTTGCAGGTACAGGGCAACAACCTTATTGAGATGCTCAGCTTACAGCGGCAGATCCTTAAGTGGCTATTGCTGTAACCTGGGACCTCTTGCGGTAGTGTGAGCCAGCATAGTGAAGGACAGCGGCATTGGTGGCGGGGGCTTTGCTATCCGATAACGTGCTTCTGTCAGACGATTCCTGTTAGAGGTGGTCTTGTATTTTGGGGAGTGCTGCTAGAGTGAGCCATTCTTCAGAATGCTACGAAACCCGGACCTGAGCATCTTGGATTCTGCAAAGGGAAAACCACAACAAATCGTATCAGGGAGCCAGTGCATCACGCAAACAGCATCTAATTGCCTAACGCACGGCACCGACGGCCCTATGCCACGCGTGCAGAGATGTGAGCTCACGCCAAAACCCTTGTTCCCACACCCTGCCGAAGAGTGGGACCCCCTATCGGCACACAGCGTTTCAGCAAGTCGGCATCATGAGCAGCGTTTTCCCTAGTCTGACTACAATAACTGTCAGGGGTAGCGGTGATGGGCTTCCCCATCTGTAAACAGGGCTCGCGGAAAACTACATAACCGGTAACCCATGTCACCCGAAAACTCGTTTGAGGCGGAGATCATCGGAAGTCGCTCAAATTCCCGTCCTGGTGCTTCTGCGCCTTTTCCAACTGCTTTTCTCTCTCCTTTTGAGCCTCAAGTCCAGACTCCACGCTTTACTAACGACGATTAGTGCGGCTGCGGCCAACCTGATACCCGAGGTCTGCTCCTGCAGCGCCTGGGCCCATGTATGCTCCTGGCACGAGCTCAAACCGCAAATCTGCTCTCCTTTGCCTTCTGTGCAGGTCCTCCATCAAAGGATCGGACATCCTTGCCAAGAAGGCCTTGCTTGCTTTCACACAGGGCAAAGAGCTTCAGCATACTGCCCTGCCGTGCATGCAACAATGCTCCACAAGGGCGATCAACGTTGTGGCTTATGCGGCCAGGCATCGATCCATAAACAGGTTCTGGTTTTTTGAGCCTGCGTGCAACTTCAAGCTGCCAGTTTCCATGGCTGTCCATGTAAGCTAGTAGCTGGCAGATCCCCATCTAACGAGCCTGAAGGGGTACCCATGCTTGCACAGCCCGTCTGCACCGGAAAAGTCCGCTGCGCAAGCTGTGCGGTGTGCCAGATAGCCACTACTTTGCTAATCACGCTGCTGAAGTATGTGTAGGAATATGTAAGAATACTTTCCGTGTGCGGCTAATGCACGGGCTAGAAAAATGGTAAGTAATAGCTGTTCAAGATGCCTCCTTGCTGATGCCTTGTCAGGGCGATCCTCTGGACCAGAGCAGCTCCAAGCTGGCCAAGTTAGGGGAGGATTCAAGTGCTGCGGAAAGTGGCCAACTTTTGGCACTTTGCGAGGACTCTACAGAACTTTGGACCGAGGGTTTGAACCTCATGGCGTTGGGGCCTTAGTGTATTGGACCCTTGACCCCCGAACCTGAACTGAAAACTCCAACATACTTCAACCCAATATGACCTCTAAAGCATTCAGATTGCTGGCTGCGGCTCGTTGAGCAAGTTGTTTTCCGTCATGGGTGTAAAGGCTCCGGTTCCTCAGCCAGGAAATCTGGATACTCAGCGTGCCGGGGCGGACACCATCCCCTACCACAGTTCTGCATCATCTTTTGTGTCTTGTACTCCTGAGCTCTGCGACTGGCAGCAACTATCCCACAATTCGTGAGAAACTCAACAGCTGTATTGTAGGACGTTAGACAAGGTCGCGCCTTGAACACGCCATAGTCGCGATCGTGGGTGTACGACAGACACACTGGGTCTGGAGGAGCGCTTTCTTGGCAATAGCCCGTCGACTGCAGTTGCATGTTATGGCGTGACCACAGCCGGGATCTGCGGTACTCAATATTGCCTCAGCTGCTGCAGCTTGGGAAAACAGGAAATGCAATAGCAATCTCAATGCCTGGAGTCAGCACTTGGAAAGCCAAGGCTCGTGTCCAAACTATCAAATTGAGCCGCTCACCTTCGGTGATGTCATCAGCACCATGCCGACGATGACCACGATGCACAACACAGTGCCCGAGCTTGTGTTGATACAACAGACTTGCATGACGGTGATTGGGGGCGCCCTGGTTACCACAGAACTGCAGGCCGGCACCTTTGAACTCCCTGCCGAGGCAAACATTGAAAGTGACATCGCTGTCATCAGTGTGCATGTCCAAGCCCAGGTCCTCACCAACCTTATACCGCACCACAAAGGTGTGATGTCGGTCAAAGTGGGATCCAGGCCCAGGAAAAAGGTGATGGGCAACTGGTTGGAGGAAGGTGTGGACCAGCTTGTCTAGAGCGGGCTCCATGCCGATCTCGTTCACCACAACTCCGTAGTTGTTCATGCTGTTAGGACGACGTGCGGGCAAGCCGCTGGCATTAAAGGCGTCAAGCTCCTCGACCATGTCTTTACAGAAGCTATCGCTGAAGATGGGAAATGAATAAACCTCCGGCGCCTCCTCAGTCATGATTGCAGACCACGCTTCTGGAGTGTTCGTTGCGTATGCTGTCCAAAATTTGGGATCAAACATGTCTTTGGAGAAAGCAATCTCATCATTGAAAAGGTGCTCGTGACGACGGAGGGCACGATACTGGGAGATTGTTTTAAAGCACTCAGCGTTCGCCTCTGCAGCATCTTTGATCGCATCGGCGTCAGCTGTCTCGCATAGCTGCTCGGGCTCTCTCAGAAGCAGCATAACGGCTTGCATTGTCCGGCACAATTTGGAAACTCCCTCGCCATTGCTGTCCGACTTGGACAGGGCTTCGGCCAAAGCAGCTTCATCTACTATTCCATCTGCCTTCACAAGGGCATGTTGCAACCAATTCTGAACTCGTACCTCTGCAGGTGTTTGAGGCCAAGCGCTGTTCACCTTGACTTGGAGACGCAGTCTGTGATCATAGCATGTGCTGGCTGGTCCGTGAACAACAATGCTCACCAACCAGGGGCCCGTGTCCCCTCTAGGCACGAAGAGCTCAGTTCCATCCTGTGCGAGTGCTGCGTACAACAACGGGAAAGCTTTGTTGCGCTCTGTCAATCGCAAGTGCCCACTTTGATTCTGTCCTCTGCGATGCCCATGACCTCTGGATCTGAAACGTGGACAGCGAACGGCTCCTTTCGCAGCCCACTGATATCCTCGCGCAAGACCTCAAGAGCGCCTAGGCATCAAGGTGGCGAATGCCTTTTCAAACGCCTTCTGTTGCAGACTATCCTAGGGCTGCCGCGCTGGGCATCGCTGTGCTCCTCAAAATGTCAGCGCGTTCACCCCCCTTCAGAAACAAACCTTGTGCCACTGGTGCAAATTCATCGCCCCTGCCTCTGGAATCGAGAATGTGCTGGGCATTTCAGCACGGATTACCCGTGGAAGGTCCGCTGGAGCATATATTAATGCTCCACCAAAAGCTGCATCCAACATGACCTTGGAGGGGCGCAAGTTTGCAGCTTCCACCGTGCTCCCGAGTGGCAGTGAAGATCTTGCTTGCTTCTAGCCACGATCAATCAAGTCTCTGACTTGGTACGGCGCTGTCTTGCCCTTGGGCCAGTGGTCCTGAACAAATGGCAGGTTCATGGCCGCGGGTCTTGGAAGTGCCGGGCAGTTGCCGGTTGGGCCTCACGGTAGCGAAGCGCCACGACACTGCCGTTCGCCCAACCTTCTCGCCCCATGTTGCAGGAGACGCGTGCACCCAAACCGAAGCGTAGGGGGGGCTCGTCAGCATCAGCCATGGCCGGCTTCACAAGTGCGAACTGCAGGAAAAAATGCTGACTTGACTTGGATAGACGCCAAGAACAGCACGTGTGCTGATATGCTGTGTGATTAGCCTCAGGCTCCTGTTAGTGCTGCTGCTTAAGCAGCACTTAAAGGTTAGAGCCAACAACAAATCAAGCGTCAGCTTCGGACTGGCAGCCTGAGGGGCGTTCCCATGTGACAGGCAAACAACTCATGCCGGCACTTTCTCGGTTTGGCTCATCTTCTGATATTATATGCCATCAGGAGAAAGGCTTAAGGCCTCGAAATTCTAGCCTTGCTGCAAGTCCTATACCCGTGGCGCTCAGTCAAGCTCCGAGGTCACGGTTGCGCTGATGACGCTGGAGACCACGCTGAAGGCTGCCAGAGCGCAAAGCACGCCTACGCCCAAAACCACCGAGGGCACGCCCTCCCCGTCTGCTGCCGATGCTGCGGCCGGCGTCATGAGGATTGCAGGCACTGCAGCGCTTGATACAGCATCGATGACGGTACCACGAAGTTGGGTCTGCGGAGTCTGCGGAGCTGGCGCGCTGACGAAGGCAAGGCTGACAAGGCTGTGCAGGGCGGAGCACACAGCAAGGGCGACAACGATGGAAGCAAGCTTAGCTCGGGCCATGGCTGGTTCTTCAAAGCCGAGGTGATGATACTGCAAGCGGCAATGGGCCTGTGCTAGTTGCTCCTGATCGCACGGAGCCAAAAGCCAGGAACAAAGTGAGGCTTTGGGTTGAAGCTTTACTGACGAATGGCTGCATGGAACCCTACCAGTTTTCTGAAACGATCACCCGGCCTGCACACCTGCAGACACACAGCTCACGCACCAGTTTGTTCGAGAAAGCAGGGAAAGCACCACCGCGCCCATTTAGGCTCAAGTGGCGGTCATAGCCACAATACAGCCACGGACTGCTCGCTCTGCTTCTAAGGACAAGTTGTCTTGCGATTCTTGTTTTTCCCGTTGATCGCAGGGCGTGCGTTGACAGTACCAAAGCTCACTTCTGAGCTGGAAAACACACCGCAGCGGCAATGGAACTCAGAGTTTTGAGCTTTCAAACCTCCCAGGCGGTACACATGCGGGCGTCAGGACACACAGGGGGATGTGTCCCCAACATTGTACAGGCAGCCTTGTTGAGAAGCTCGACAAACTGGCCCTTGTCCCAAATGTCCGGCAACTCTTTCGCCTCCGGGCTAGGTGAAGGCATGGCAGGCAGGCAAGCCTAGAAAACACCAGAGTCGCTACATAGCAGCAAGGATTTTGCCATCCGCCTTCAGCATCCCAATGCGAGCAAGGCTTGCTTTGTCCAGGCTCGTTGGATCCTTGAGCTGCCAATACTGAAGCTCATGAAGGGGCACGTCTGAAGCAAAGACAATTGACTTCCCAAAGAGATGCTCAGCAACGCTCTGCTGCTTCCAGAGCTTTGTATGCAAGTTCAACCTCCTGACGAAGGTGCCGAACAAGTCCAGAGCTTCAACTGACCCTTTCAGGTGGTGTCTCCGCTGGCCTCCTTGCTGGCCGCGTTCTTGAGGATGTTGATTGGAGCATCCCACGCCTGGGAACTCTGACTTGCTGCACTGCCCGCCAACATATTTGGCATGGCTCCTCCACGCCCTCTTTGCTGCCACTGATTCCCAAGATTGCTTTGCAACCGTCCGCGTTCTCAACCTCATTGTTGAAGGCTCGCAGGCATTCAATTATGTTCATTGCCGATTTTGCCTCCCGTTTGGCGCCCTTCTCCAGCAGCAGCTTGGAGATGAAATGAAAATCATACCTGCCAGCAACTGTCCGCGCAGGATCAGCTCTGTCAACCGACCGTTCTCAAGGCGCAGGCTCTACACTCATGTGAAGCGCGGTCTGGCCCTTGAAGTTTTGAGCAGTGACCTGCAGTGTCAACAGCTACAGACAGTGGCATTGGCCCTGACCCCGCTAGAGAGTGTAGAGATTTCTTAGTGCAAGCCAGTGCTGGAGCTGGGCGCTGCACATCTGCTTTCCAGGAAATTAAGAGCTTTGTCAACTCCCGATGCCCTGGGGCCAGTTGCTTGCGGAGTTAGGACCCAAACTTGATTTGAACTTGGCGTGCTGCCATTCTGGACCGCAATATGCAGGGCTTGGTTCCCAGTCTTTGGGTCAGCTGCTCCTTGGGACGTTTACACCCGAATCAGGAAGTCACACACTGCAGGCTTGAAATGTATCATCTGGTGACCTTTTCGTTGACAGACAGCTACAACTGGCAATTTCACGGTCACCCGCCGTCACCCGCGACTTGTGCCTCTTTAATCTTTCTAGCTTCCTGCTGGCACCCCTCCTCGGAAAGACTTTCAGGGCAGGACATTTCGTCCCTGCGGCATATCCGCCGTCGCCCACTGTGATCACACGACGAGGTCAACTGGGAAAGCCTCTTGAATTGGGTGCCTTGTTTTCAACACACCCCGTTACTTCTCTGATGCTGCGTGATGTGTGCAGGCTTCGCCAAGAGCCAGCATGAGTGACGCAACTTGGCTGGAACTGATGCTGTCCAGCCTACCTTCATGCATGGACACTATTTAGCCCAAATTCACGGAAGGCTTGCACCCAAATCTGGACCACAGCGCCGTAAGCTTTTGCGCCTCCAACATAGCAGGTTCAGCATAATATTTAGTGCAGCCATCTCGAAAAATCCTCGAGCGGAGGTCACCAGGGCCCTGCTACAACCACGTGCATCTCAGCTGACCCTTGCCGAGCACGGCAAGAAGCTTTTACCAACGACCAAGCTAAAGACTAAGACACCCTCGCTCTGCTTGCAGACTCGAAGCGTCAGCAACAGCAACGACTAATTAAAACTAAACATGGTTTGAACAAACGGATACCGGGCAATTCCCCGCTTCTGACTTGTGCTTCAGGCTCTCCACTGCAAGAACAAATTTCTGATTCAGTTCAAGGGGACTGATACGACAATGCATCACCGACATAGTTAAAATGTCTATCTTGCCAGCGCGCGTGTTGCTGCTGACGCTGCATGACACTGGAGCCAGCGGAGCTCAGTGTAGGTGAATATGATTCCTTCTCCTGATGTTTCAGATTCATCTGTTGCGCAGAAGGACACCACACGCTACACAGACGCAGATCGCAGTCCCAGCAGGAGCGCCCTGCAGTTGACGAACCAACCCCCCCGATCATTCGGTCAGACCAAGTGGCAAGTCTCCGTTCGGAAAACTCATGTTAGGGGTTCTACCAGGTTTTCAATGGATCTTTGCATAACTGCCGAGCTTGCTTCTGGTGAGTGATGAAGAGTGATGAAGAAGGTGCCCGCCTTAACCAAACACAGATTTGAAAACACCGGAGCTGCTTTGCAATAAACTCTGAGAAGTAAACGCAGCTGCATCTCTGAGGCATTGTGAATTTGTTCCTGTCTCTGGCTAGCTGGATTGCGTTCGGCGTAAAGTTGCTGGCTTTAGAAGCTAAGCCAGCTAAGCAGAAGTTGTCAGGATCGATGAGGCCACCAGCAATACCACAGAAACGCAATCGACCAGAACAAAAAAAAACACGGGAGCCCTGGGATCGAAACATCTGCATTCAAAAGCAAAAGGCAAAAAGAGGCAAAATCCAAGGCTGAAGCTGGTAGCAGATCTGCAGGACCTGATCATGAAGACTCTGCCGCGGGCGCGCTCCATACCATTCCTGAGGTTTGGACACCCCTGCGTCTGTCACCATGGCCTTCACCTGGCAGTTTTGGGTGAGATGTTACTTGCTTTTGGGGTGTCTGCAAACTTCTTTTGCCACTATGTGCGGAACACATGCCTCAGAGTCCTGCTTGCCCCAACCTCGGCTAACGATGCAGCTTGGAGCCCAGAGGGCCGCAGGCGCAGCGCTTCAGCACAACTCCGGGGTCAACACGCAGTGCTGAATGGAATTTGCCTGGGTTCGTAGATGACTGTAGATGCCACTTTGGCTTTAGATGACTTCGACCGTCTGACCCAAAATAGAATGGCATGAGGATTCAACATCCTGAACATGAGATTTGCTTCTTAGCGAAGCAATTGCCAAGAGCTCAGGTGCGGGCCGATGAATTGGTCATCTGGTTTTGCAGCAGCATCTTCTGCATCATCGGCTGCGTTGGCAGGGGCTTCTTTGCTCTCCTTGCCTTTGGATTTAGCCGACTTAGGCGACTCTTTGCTAAGCTTCAGCTCTTCGGTGGCCTCCTCTGCCTAGGCAATATGCACACAGCCAGCCTTCACGTATTTCATACAAATGCTTTGACATGGACAGTTTGTGACAGAGCTGTATACGTCGCAGGATCTCGCAGGCATCTTAGTTCAGCAGCTTGGGTAATCTTGAGTATACCTAGCATCACGATGCATGTGCGTATCATGTTGCCAAAATGTGAAAAATTTTGGAACCCCAACAGTTATTGCTGTCTCGATAGAGCATATGTGCAGTGAAGGGTTGAGGCGGCCACCATCTTGTCCTTTGCGGCCGGCTCCTTGTCGTCCTTCCCCTTCTTGGACTTCTTCCTTCTGCTGACAGGCATGATTCGAGGAATATCTCCCGCTAAAGTCTCAAAGGAACATACTTCCAGATGCAATCAAGCTGCTTGCTGCTTTTTTTCTCTGTCACATCCTGAACAGGCCGAGGTCAGGCATCAAAAGCAACGATTAACAAAGCAAAGACTAACAAATGCAGAGGCGTCAGCCAGTCGTTCAGTAATGTACCAGGATTAAGTGGATAGACGAACTAAGGAAGCAGTGCCCGCACCATCGTTTGAAACCCCCATTCAGCCTGCGGCGGTTCTGGCAGCAACGCGTCGGGCTGGGCCTGAAAAGCGTTCATGCAAGAGATCCAAAGAGCTCCTGCACTTGACGGCACAGAGCTCGCTTCATTTGGAGACTGGGAAGATGGCCCGGAACACAGAGCAGCAAGAGCAAGCCTGCCAGCTTGCAAGTCACTTCAACGTGACGCGTTGCCCTTGCACGCACTCGCGCCGTCTCGGCTCGATTTCCCTGGCAGGGTGGTCGGTCATAGGCATTTTGAGCCTGATGGCTATAAAAACATTCGGCCAATAGTTTTACAATGTTTTACAAGCTCTGGCATGGTTTGCCACAGCGAATCGTGACCGACAGCCGCTTTTCAATGAACAAACTGCACTTGCATGCGCTGCGCTAGTGACCAGGCCAGTGCAAAGCTGCCTGCAATCGTCGGTGGATAGACTTCCAAGCTGCCCCGCCATCTGCTGGGCTGGGCAACTTTCAGACATCTGACAGCTTCTGCAGGGCACCTGCAATTTAAGCATGGCTGCTCATTACACCTCTTCGAAAGGGCTAGATTCGGCTAGATGATGCTAGATGCACAACATTATCAAAGCCTTTGGTACACTTTCGAGTGCCCGGCTGCAAAGAATGAGCGAGATTCCAATGTCTTGCTGTCCATTCGGACCAGGCCAGAATCTCAACGGCCGCGGCCATTGACAAACCAGAAATGACGGTGAAACACATCCCAGCTACTGAAATGCTGAGATGTCGTAAATCGTCGTGCGACTCCAGAGTCGGGATACTCTCAGATACTCTCAGTGCCGGAGTCTGGCACCAGATGCAGTCAGCTTGGCACTCCCTTTCCTCGTTGCTGTTACTATCATAGAAACTTCTTTGTCCAACGAAAGGGGACAAGCGGATTTGAAAGCAGCATCCATCCAGAGAGCATGAAGGGGCCCATGCACGAATTACATCTCATCGTGCGCCAAGGACTCAAGCTGATGCACGGCCATGCACTCACTCCTCATCATTCCTCGTCCTCATCTACGATGGGCTTGGATTTGTCAAGCCTGAGATTCAGATTTGAGAAGCCAGTCAGGTCTTTGAGATTGCACCCTCGTTGCAGCCAAGCGTCCATCTCGACATGGAGCTCGGAACGAAGTCGCCTCCCAGGTCCATTTCCTGTCAGGATCCAGGACAGGTGCCACACGTCCCCCCCACTCCCCATTGATTCACTAGCCTGCTTGGCCCCACCTCACAGGCGATGAAACATTGCAAAGTGGTGTCAACTGCAAGACCAAAAACGTTCCTTGGCACCGTCAGCAGGAGTCAAACAGTAGAACTCCGAAAGTGTGAATAGGGAGGCCCACAAGCTTGCGTTGCAACGTGTCTATTGCTTAGAAATCCGTGCCAAGTGGCATGAAGAGCTTCGAAACCTCAAGCAAGCTGGGCCACTTCACCCCAAATGCCCATTCCAAAGCTAGCTTGATGAAATGTTGTCGCCAGAGCCCTGAGGAGATGACAACATATGCTGTACAGCCATAGATGATGAGACTAACGGCAGGCGCAATGTCGGGGTAGAGCCCCGTCAGGATGAGGTAGCCCAGTGCAACACTGGACGCAATAATGAACAGGAAGCCGATGGCATGGATCATGGTCTTAGTCGCATCACACATCAGATCCTTTCTGTTAGCATGCCTCGTTCTGCCTAGGCACCCCAAGAATTGCCACGGTTCCAAAGCGGAACGCATTTCGCAATATCAGGAAGAAAGCCTTCTTCGCAGATGTACAAAAGTTCGTACCCATCAAAGCAATTTGTATGTACGCATTCCTTGGCTGGCCGGGTAGTTTGCCACTGCCTGCCCAACCTGCCGTACTCTCCGCAGGCCTGTCACGAGCTTACAAAATTGTGGTCCCTGCTGTCTGAGGCTCTTGTTCAAGAATTTGACCTGAGAACACCGAGGCTAGCAGGTTCATGCTAGAGCTGCACCATGCTACAAACACTCGGTGCTAAGAACCTGACGCACTTCTCAAAGCACCATATACAGCACTGCAACACTTTGAGGACCAAAACTAGTACCCGGTTCTTCGCAGCCTTGGCCTGCTTCCTCGGGAGCAGAACTTCTAAAATCCAGCTGGCATGTACCGTCCAAGGACCATTTGCCGTGAAGCGTCTCGTAGTATTTCATCAAATATCGAATGAACTGTATCACTGCAATGATGAACGAGCCGAAGGCCAAGGAACCCAGGTGGTAGCGGAAGACATTCCTGGCTTCTCTGGATTCGCATGTCTCCCAACCCGGCAGCCAAGGGCAAAAACTTTCCGGTCCTAACTTGTACCCACACGTCTCAACCACACTTATGGCCAGGGCACCAGGTGGACTGGGCAATGACCTCAGCATGATCGAGAAGTACAATGCCTACAATGCCCACTGCCCCGGTCCTGATGTCACAATGCAGTCGTCTTCTCACGTCAAGCCGCTCGCTTGCTGCCCTTATCAGCATTTGATGTGAAGAACCAAATTCCAACAGCGCCAGCAATCAGGCACTGCCCGATGGCAATGTTTAATGCCTGCATGTCATATCTGTCAGGGTATGCGCATGGCACCACATCTGGACAAAATCCTGAGCGAGCTGAGGGTGTGGCATTGTTCCATAAGAAAACGAAGAAAGAAACCTGGCGGATGCTGGCAGGTGTTTAAGGAATGATTTTGCCAACGACATGCTTGGAGGCTTAGCTGTTTTTTGTCGCAGAGTTGCTCCAAAGCGCCAGTCAAATACGTATCGAGGAGGCGAACACCTCCAGCAAGCATAGGTCCCATTGACGGTCAAATCACCTGGGCGGCTTACCATGTTGTGCCTACCTCTAGAGGGGCGTTGCGCCGGAGGTACGGCTGACATGCTTTTTGCTGGAATTCATATCTTTGAGTTGCGTGTGCTGCTCGCATGTTGTTTCCATTTGCACTGCTGCAGTGACGGCAGTCGAAGTCCGTTTTACACTACTCTCCTCCCCGACACTAAGCCGCCTCAAATACACCAAGCGATTCCAACTGACAGTCCAGCTCTGGTGCAGCATCCAGCTCGACAAAAAGGACCATCACCTTGCCCATCATCTTTTCTGACTTAGCAGCCGGGCCACAAGTTTCAGACTTGTAGACGCCGCCGGTGGGCCATTTGTCAGTGCATTTGCCAGGCACAGTTGCCTCAGACCAATGCCATGCCAAACATGGAAGAAACGCTCGGACTGCCGCGCAGCAGCAAATCCGAGTAAGCCGTTACTAGCAGCAGCACCTATTGCAAAGAAGGCTTAGCCAGCTTAACCTTATATCGTCCAGGCTGCCGTCCCGAATGCTTCATCATAGGACGTGTACGCCTCCTGGCTACAGGCTGCGCTTCCACTGGCATGCCTATCATAATTGGCGACTTGATCACGTGTGTTCTGAGATCCTTGGGTGTGTAATCCTCCGGCACTTGGGAGAGTAGAAAGCTGGCAGACAGTGCCCAAAGCAAGATCCAAAGAATGCCGCAAAAGGCTTGAAGAATCGGCATGATCACAATCCTGAGGACTCAGGACCATGCGAGGATATTTCAAAGACGCAGTAGCTCAGCAGCTCAGCAACTCGTTTCGCGGCCAAATGCGGCCAAGGTGCCTCGGGGTGTCCTTCACAAAGGTAGCGGCGACTTGGTTCACAGCAATTGCCAATCGAATCCTGACAGGCTTCTTGAGGAGAGGGCTCTGTCTGAACTTCGCTCTGGATTCACTGCTACAGGTTTGGGAGAACGTAAAAGCAACAAACAGACACCAACACACAACCTGCTGAGATGTTCTCTTGCGAGCAGCAACTGGAAAGAGAAGTTAGCTTCTCAACCCTGGCTACGCCTTTGCGAACCAAACCCTGGCAACAAAAGACGCAGTCAGGTCCTGTCCACGAGGCAACAAACAAGGAAGAAATAGAGGCCGGCGAAGACCCACAGCACGTAGCCAACCACCTCCAAGACAACCCTGACCTCGTTGTTTGTCACGGCGTAACCGGCAGAGCATTCCTTGGCAAGATGGTGCCAGCAGGGTTTCCTTTGCATGCGTGCACCTTCAACACAAAAGCAGCGTGTCTGCAACAACGAGCAAGCAAGCAAAAGCCTACAAGCCCAGTTGCTGGTGCTATGACACCAACAGGTGAGCAGGTCTCCCACGTGACACTGGTGTCTGTTGTGAAGCACCATATTGTCGCGGCCACATTTGCTGCTCCCGTTGGGTATGGATTGCGGCAAAAGTTGTTGTTCGCCAAGCCTGTCATCTCACTGCCAAGTCTGGACTCTCACTTTTTGACACGGGCAGGCCAAAAGCCACGCTCATCCACGACATGCTTTGGCCACATCTCAGAAGCATTACAACACACTTTGCATTGCATCCCTCTGAAGGCTGCCCGGGTGCCTGAGTTCGGGTAGGAGGTGCTATTGTAGTTGGCTGCATTGCCTCCAGTCACTGCACCAGCAGCAAGACAGAGTAAGACGGGAAGGGGACACAATTGCACAACCATCAAGGTCCGGCCGCCCGGCCCGCCTTGTCCCCACGTCTCGCAGTGGAAGCCATTCTTGGTGCGTGTCTGCACCCCGCGGTAATCTGCACCATCCTTAGCAGGGCATGCTAACTGCCAGGCCAAGTTAGGTCACGTAAAGACACCGCTCTTGCCCTGTATCATCCGAGCAGCTCCAGTCATGGCTTCACTGACTGCCTCAGTGCCCGACAGCGCGTTGTCCGCTGCAGTCTGAGCCGTGACCTGTATGCATGCACAGCTCTGAGAGCGAACCGAGCAAATCCTGAATCAAGAGTCGCACACTTGAAAATGCAAGCCGAGGCACGGCAATCGACACTGCCACCTGCTGTCCAGTTTCAAAGAGGCCCGCGCCTTGCAGGAACCGGCACTGACATTGCACCGATTTCGTTTCTGCAAAATGACGCAGGCCTGAACACTGCTTGCTTCGGATCCAGCAAAGCCCACCGCCAACGAGGAGCATCAGGAAGACCAGGAACACCGCAAACCTGAATTCTGCATTTGTCAGCAACAGCTCGCCCAAATCAACACCAATTTTACGATTGCTCCTGTATCACTGGCCATACCTAGCCCACTGCAGCAAGCTATCCAAGCCATGCCCAAGCAACCGCACAATCTTTTGCACTCAAGCTGCCACACACAGATCTTAATGAGGAATCGCAGGAGGACCAAGTAGATGAAGCCAATGAGAAAGCTACAGATGGCCACCTGCAGCAAAGTCGCGCAACCCTTCAGCATGCAGCACAGGCTCAAATGACGCTCGAATGCTCGCTCAAAGCTGCCAAAGTGCAAGGATGAAGGCAGGCAGCGAGTTCTCGAAGTCGCCCATCCACTTGCCAAGCGTTTCCTATAAGGAATGACAAAAACTGAAGTCAGATTTTTTGGTCACCGGATGTTATTGGTATGAGGCTGCCGTCGGTGCTACTGGCAAAGCCCCCAAAATGCACCTATGATGCCAAGCTTCAGAAGAACTATCTTGAAAAGACGCCAGGCCAGTACTCTCAAAGACTTGTGCTGCAGCTGATCCCATCGCCGCTACTACGTCAGCACCTCAGGATGCAGCTCAGTCAGTGGACCAATTCAAATCTCGTAGGCAGAAACCTCTTAGAGCTCAGCCCATCTTGAAACTGCAGTAGCCACCATAGAGCTCCCCAAACCTTGACATATCTGACTGGCACATGGCCTGCGCGCGTACAAAGGCTTAGCCAAGCATCTCCACTCCCGGGAAGGGGATGCACTTGGAAGCGTTATATGGACAGACCGACTCCGGCAGCGCCTAGCAGATCACCGAGAGAAAAAGTGAACAGCCTGCTTCAACTCTTCGAAGAACACCTGAAAGGTGAACTGGCTGATCGAGTCCTTGATGAAGGCAGGCCTTGCAGCCGAGCCATACTTGGAACCGCAAACTCCAGTCGCAGCACACTTCATTCGATACATGCTCAGGGGGCTGAGCTTCCCGCCCTCCAGCAGTTAGCGCATCCCAATGCTTTTTTAAGTCATCGTCTTCAGACATTGTATACGTCCATTCACCTCACAATCATGAACAGGCAAGTTTCGGCGAGGCACTCTAGAACTCCACGACACAGGATCTGGCCAAGATTAGGCTTGCCATCAAGGAGCGGATGGTACTTGTGCTGGCATTCATGGTATCGAAGTTTTCATTGCAAGATTTCAGGCAAACCATATTGAAATATTTGGTCGCTTCGCTCCTGGGATGCCAGCTATGTTTGGATCGCCAGAGGATGCTGCTTCCCACTAGTAAATTCATAGCAAACTTGCATGGGAACACCTGCTGCCATGCGACCACATATTCGTGAACACATCGCCATTTGCACCGCCACCTATTGAGAAGCAGACGTTCCAAAGAGGTGCATTAACAGAAACGCATTGCCCTGCGCAGGTCCACCTGAAAACAGGTTCGATGGATTTGTCAGACCCTTGAGGTCTGCCTGGCGCGCGCGGATTTAAGGAGCTCCCCAAGACGCATCACGAACACTGGGTAACAATGCAGGCAAGAAGCCATCTTGGACGTAATGCTGCCCTGCAAGTTGCTGGCATCCAAATCACCGCCAACATCGAAGCTTCCTGGACGAAGGGCATCACGACCACTGACACGTTTATTCCTGCCATTTGGCCTTCACATTTGGCGCATGGGACTAGGCAGCAGTCCTTAGATGGACAAGCCACAACAGCATGTGCTGTTCATACATCTCCAATGAAATTGGGAGGGAGAGGAGAACATAGTCCCAGCTTCGCACTGATATTCGCTGAACTGTGCAGCAGTATACAGGCTCTCCAGCGCATCGCTTGCCGCACTAGAACATAACAGTGCTTTGACGACGACATCTGTGGTTGCTGTTGCATTCCTTGGTGCAATACTAAGTCTCGTACACCACATGCCGACTGAAATGTTCCCAAGCCCCATGCATTGTGTAGCTGAGTTTGGGGAAACCTTGGTCATACAAATTGCACTGCTCAAGAATTAGCTGACAAGTGCCGCTTCTTGTGATTCTTGTGGGCATGCACTTGAATGAAACACAGAAGCCAAAAGGCCTTTCAGATTTGGTCCGCTGTTCCAATTCTGCTCCAAATCGCAGTAGGCGCCACTGAAATCTCTGGGGAGGTAGAGCTTAGCTGGCTCTCCGTCTTGGAGTCCTGCAAGTGAGCATCGTGCGAAGAGCAATTGCTGGTGTTCAAGTAGATCAGCTGTGACAGCAAGTCCCAAGCTGTTGGTCCTGCAAGAGTCACTACAATGTAAGCCCCCCAAGCAGCGAGCAGAACGATCAAGCACCATGCATCTGTACACCCTCGATTTGAGACCGGCCCATTCGACAAGTCGTTATCTCCACCTGAGCTCTCACGTCTAAGTCACAGAACTTGCCGTCGCACAATTTACCACGCCCCCGAATCCCTGAGCACACAGAGATTCTGTTGAGCCCGCTGCCTTTGGAGAACTTCTTGCCTTCCTCAGGAGGATGAAAGCTCTTCTTCAGCTGCGTGACTAATACAGAATCAGCAGACTTTTCAAGAGTAAGACTTGGGCGAGAACTTGATTGCTAGCATCCAAAGCTGTGAAGAAAAGCGTGGAGATTTGTCGTGCTCTTGTTATGTCATTTGTTCCACCTCTTTTTTGGGGTGGGAGGTGCGGGTGGGGGGGAGGAGGGGTCATGGAGGGGGATGACGGCGTGCTGGATGGCAAGTGCTTTTCTCCTTTTGTAATATAATGAAAATATAGCGAAAATCATGAAAGCGATGTAATGTGAGTAAGTAAAATAATGAAACTTGGGAAATGATAAAAACTGACGAAAGGTGATAAAATGTGATGAAACCGTTAGAAGTCATTACCATGTATAGATAGACGTGGGTAACGACACAAAATCATGAAAATTCATGGAATGAACACTGAAACAACATGATTAAAATGTAGCAAAAAAGGCGAAGAATGATGACACATGATTAAACTTGATGAGAAATGATACAACATGGCAGAAAATGTCGCGGACAAATCTTGAATATCGATCAAATATGATGAAACATGATGAGGTATGATTAAGCGTCAGGTTGCGGGGAGGGTGCAGCCCCCCCGGCATTTGCAAATCATGAAAAATCATGGAAATTATGGAAATTATGAAAGTCATGAAAGGAATCTCGGAAACTATAGAAAACCATGGCATATGATGAAAGAGATGAAGATTGACGAAAGCCATGAAAAATGCTGAACAAGTGATCACCATGATGGAAATGTTGAATATCATGATACATTGAAGATGATGATAAAATGTGATTACAACGGCACCATCCCATGAAATATGATGAAACATGTTCCACATCATGGAAATCATCGAAAATGAAGGGAAATCAAAAACAAACTGATGTAAAAGTGTGTAAAGACGACGAAGGAAGACAAAAAAAAAGGCGATGGAAAAACCAGGAAAATTGTAAAGTTGTGAATCGTGATTAAATATGTTGGTAAGTGGTGAAGAATGAAAAGCTCCTGAACCATGAAAATGCTGATGAAACATGATGGCATATGATGGAAAAACATCTTAAACCATGATTGAAGTTCGTAACAATAAGCGCCATAATGCTAATAACAACCAAGTGACACTTGCCATTAAAGTAAAGAGTTGTGTAAAACTAGCATAGCACGAGGAACCTTCTGCGTATATGCATCCATGTTTTGTCCTTCTTTCCGTCATTGGTTCTTCCTTTCTTTATGTCTTTCTTTATTCTATTCAGTCCTGTCTTCCCGTCTTTAGTTATCAGTTATCTTGATTACTATGATTGTTACTTCTCATTAGTTTCGTTTGTTCTTTCTCTTTGTCAGTGTCTGTCGTTCTATCTTGCTTGCTTTCTTTCGTTCATCGTCTCTTTCTTTCTTTCATTCTCTGTACAGTCTCTTTGCTTCTTTCAATCTTGTGTTATGTATTTCTTTCCTTTTGGTTGTTCTTTCTTCCACGCTTTCCTACTCCACACCACCTCTTCAGTCCTTCCTTCATACCCTGCATGTACGGCACCAAGGCCCCATCGCCCAAAAGAACAAAAAAGAATGCCCCCCCCCTCCCGGAAAAAGAAAAAAATGTAGATATATATAGATATATATGTACACTTAAATATATCCAAAACCAGTCGTCGTTGGGGTGCGGTTGTTCCCTGTGCTTAGCATATTTAACCGAATGATCTAGTGTTTCAATACAAAATTGCACTCACACAGTCTCTCGGTACTTCCGCTGTTTAAGAGCTACCACAACCAAAAAAGAATCCGAAGTCTCCGAATTGCCCGCTCGTGTTTCAGGAGTCTAGTAACTGTGGCGATTGTAATCATAGTAGAACTGTAGCTTTAGTCTTTGTAGTAGTAGCAGTAGTAGTAGTAGTAGTAGTAGGAGGCCCACGTCGCGCCAGCGACGGTGCATTATTATGCATTTAGGGGTGCAAACTACCGTTCTCACCAGCACTTTTGAGGGGGCAGGTCATGAGTTGGGGAGGTGGCAAACTACTTGGTCTGAAGAACCCGCCGGCCGGCAGCCATTTTAGCTTGAAGGGAAACTTTGCGCCATGTCGCGCCCCTTGGGTTTTAAGGCTTAGGGCTAAGGGCATGAGCAGCAAAACCATGGCTGTAACGGCCACTTTTTCCTGTGAAGTGCTTACAAGGATTTTTGGGAAAGTAAGATAATCACCTCCCTTGATACTAAACACCTCTATCCAATCAACACCCTTGGCTTAAGCATTCCCTGCAGTAGCTTCAGTAGATTTGGGTCGGGTATTTGATTTCAAACATTGGGTGGATTCTCAATTGAGAAGGAGGGGTAAGATCACCGTCTCTTTCTGCAGAGATGCTTGGCCAGGTTGTGTGGGGGTCCAATATCAATTCCAAGAATTGATATGAAATTATAACAACTAATCAACATTATTCCGACAAACTTTATGAAAGGTTGTTGAAAGTTTGAATGTTTCAGAGATTTGTTCTCGGAGCTTGCTGTGCTCAGTGTCCTCACGAACCTCAGGAACCTAGTCATCCCCCTTACTAATACCCGGACAGGCTCTCTCACAGGTTTTCTAAGTTTGTGAGATTTGTTTTCGGAGCTTGGTGTGCTTGCTGGCCTCACGAACGTAATTCCCCCCCAACCCCACCCCGACCCCACCCTACCCCACCCCCTCCCCACCTTCCCGCCCATACCACCAGAAAAGCGAAGGTAGTAACGCGGTGCAGCTTTTTAGAAAAAAGCAGCCCCCCCCCCCAGAAATGTCAAAATGAAGCCAGAACCACTGTAAAATCGTTTGTTTTCGCTGTGTGCATTCCATCATCTTGAGGTTTCCACCTCTTGTGTGTTCTTGCAGTCGGATACACAAAATGGTTAACATCCGTGTAACCACTGCATCCATTCTTGTAGCATACGGATACGCAAAAAATGTTAGCATCTGTGTAGCCACTGCATCCATTTTTGTAGCATAC